CATAGACATCTACATTTATCTTCGTTTGCGAATCAAAACGCAGATGCGTTGTCACCCGTGAGGACTAAGATGGAATGCCTCTTTTGCAGTAAAAAGGGTCTCCGGTTCTCTACACTCACCATACGAAACACAGCGGTGTTAAACTGCTATTTGACGCTGGTATTTTGTGAGAGCGTGGTCCTTCCCCGGTCGAGCTGAACCATTCGTGCTACAACTATACTACTAATATAGCTGCAGCGTGGCTCTATCACGTGAAAATAATATAATATAATATATATTATCGACAGTGGGAAATGACACAAAACATTAAAATATTTTGCATAATATGGTGGAATATCCATGTTACATACACAACACTCACAACACTATTATTACGAAAGAAAACTAAAGACCTATGGCTTTTTTTTACCAACAATTACTAAATCTTTCCAGATTCACGCTGTTGCACCGCAATTAAGTTTTGTTTGTAATAAATGTATTGACAATGTATACTTAGTATATATTTGTTGTATTGGTTGCTAATATTAGGCACTTATGAAAATGCGGTTTCGTTTAACTGACCACTTTCTGCAGTAGTCTTAGTAGAAAATGTATATATATCTGTCAGGATCGTGCCAAAGGGAAATCCGCAGTCTGCCTACCCTTCTGGATGACAAACGTGAGTGTTTTTTATATTGTTCCCATACAAAACAGCAGTTTGATAGGTAACATTTTATTTCGCTGCTTTAAATCTGGCAATAAAAGTGGTCTCAGTAATTTTAGGTCTTTAACTATTCTAGCAGTAGGTTAGTAAAGTTTCTTCTTTTTAAATTCTTTCCTTTGGTTCTTTAAGTTTTTTTATGTGCTCCTTGATTTTTCTAGATTACTATTGACTAGACTGAAGACATGCACTTCTCAAAAATATATTTGAAGTTTGGGAGTGCTTTAAGTATTTCTATGACCTATCAAAGGCAAAAAGTGGTAATACACGGGCCAGACACCTGTAGAACACCTTTATTAATGTGCGTGTCCTAAGGATCAATATTGGGAACATTGCTTGTTTATTTTTTTTTAAATACGAAATTTATATTAATGATCTTCTATACTCCAAAAATCTTATATGAAATAGTATTGCTTATTGGTGATACTATCTCGTGTTTAAAACTGATAAAGATAAAACTCTTTTGATGATGTAAATGCTCTATCTCAACCATTACATTGGTTTACGACTAAAAAGTTGCTTCTAAATTGCATCAAAACGAACTGCCTTAATTTTTTTTAAACCAAATGTAAGGTATGTTACTACTCATATGAAGTTGAATGATATAAAAACTTGATTATGTAGACTCTATAGTCTTCCTTAGTATCACTATAGACTGTCGTCTACAAAGGACCTCATATAGAAGATTTGTTAAGGAATGCGATTAAAAATAAGGTTGTTAACTAATGCAGATAAAGGATGATTGGTTTATATCAGCTAATACATCGATGTAGTCTAGCATAGAAAAATAACAAATTCAAAAAATCTGGTGTCAATAAAACAACATCATGGTGAGTTGGATGTCATTCCTTTGCTGCTACTCAATGTATTTGTGTAATATTGTTATTGTTAATATTTTTGTTTGTTGTTTCAATTTCTTCGAAAGTTGTATTCTGTGTGGATAAATTATTCAATCATTAATTTATAAAAAGTTCGAAGTTAATTCGGAATAAACTCTTCGCGCCACCTGCCGCAAAGGGCGAAACAATGTCTGCCGGACAGTTAGTTACTGTTACTCGTTAAATGTTTGAGGAAAGAGTGACAAACAAATTTATGCTGCAAGAGTGAATGGCATAGTCGGCAAGGGTCGCACTAGATGGAAATTTACTGATCAAACTGGCGATTAAAGTTGGAAAATTTATATAATGTAGATGGGCCAAATTAAGTGTTCCCCTTTAATGACAAGCATGTATGCCATTGTGCAAAATGGAAGTCCGTAGTCTCTAGCTACTTCTCTGGGTAACAGGCGCGGAAGTTAATGTATATGTAAGTAAAAAGGTATATATTAGACCTAGGGGCTAAACTTGTTGCATCACAGTTCATCTACGTCAGATCTATCAAAAAGTCGAGTTATGCTCGGTTGCTCACGTACTAATATTTATTTAAGAAATTATTTGTAAACCTATGATAAATTGAGATAAATCCGTAAATTTAATACGCGATAGTAAACCTAAACTTGCTATTTCAAAGTACAGGCTTCATAAAAATGGCGGCTTGTTTTTGAGTAGTGGTATAACTATTTATAACAAGATTCTCTGTAATATTATTACCAAATTGCCTTTGCATAAATTCAAGGCGTTTGTGAAAAGCATTCTAATGAAGAAAAGATATTATAAATCCACCTTACTAACAAAATTTTAATTAAGCTGGTTCATAATCACAATAAGTCTTTATGTATTTTAAAAATGTTTATTATATAAATTTACTATCATAAACCTGTTTGCGATTCATATTAATAAAAGTAAATGATAGAAGATCACCTGCTGTAGGTACGTGTTGAAGAGATGGCGTAGCTTTCTTGACTTTAAAATGCTAGAACTAAACTACGAAAATTCAGGTATAAGAAGTAGTTTTCAAAGGGTTAGAGGCACTTTGACAATTTGATAAACCTAGCGATTATGGCAAATTCTTTTACTGGCAATATACCTGACATTAAAACAAAGAATTGAATGATTTGAACTTTCTTATTATAATTATATTTAAATTGTATAATATATTCACTTGGTGGAATGACTTTTTTATATCAAGGAATCAGTCTAGGTAAATTTTAGCTTCTTGCTTAATTCTATTGCCGAGCAGTAGGTACTGTACTCACTGCTGTATTTCATTTATTAAGGTGAGAAAGTCATTATTCAATCTATGATTTTTATATAATAGACTACCTAACATGCATGAGTAATTCTGATAAGTAAACCCCAACTTCTATTTTCATACAAATAAAACTCGGATCTAAATTAATATAGTATTTATTTAAACTGTGTTCCGTTCCATGAATAAATCGAATACACTTAATTGTAACTAATCAGTCAAATCGGCTACACCGTTGGTTACACTACTACATACTTATTTACAATATCATATTTTCAATAAAAAAAAAAGAAAAAAAAATAGCGGCATGAATAAAATAAAGTTATTAGTCTGGTTAGCCGGATACCTAATTAAATCAAGGCAATAAAATTAGTTGCCAGTGATGACTCTGAATGAATCTGAGACGTGGCCCTTCATTGCTGGCCGTATAAGAAAGCTCAAGGTCGCTCAGCGAGCTATGGAGAGGGTTATGCTCGGGGTTTCATTGCGTGATAAACTTAGAAATTAGGATATCCGCAGTAGAACTAGAGTGACCGACATAGTCCAACGGATTAGTAAGCTGAAGTGGCAATGGACCGGCCATATAGCTCGAAAAACCGACAACCAATGGTGAAGAAAGGTTCTCGAGGGGCAACCTCGTAGCAGTAGGAGAAGTGTAGGGCAGCCTCCCACTAGATGGAGTGACGAACTGGTAAGACATGCAGGAAGTCGATGGATGCAGGTGGCTCAGGAATGTGCTTTGTAGCATTCTTTGAGGGAGGCCTATGTTTAGCAGTGGACTTGTGATGGGCTGTAATGTTGATGATGATGATGATGAATAAAATTAAACGACTTTTAGAATTAAGTCAAATGAAAGTTCTTTATTTTTGGACGCAAGAAACAAATGTTTTGTTTGTTAAATAAGATAATATTTTGTAAAAAAAATCTCTGTTATTCTAATTGGAGAAGAAAGGACTAAAGTAACTCAGCAGGTTTCTTCTTTTTGCCAATTTTAATCTGTAAATTATGCAATCACATCATATTAAGAACAAATTAAAAAGGAGATACATAAGCACACACAAAAAAAAAACGATATTTCTAGTATATATACAAAAAAGGTCACGTTGGTCAAAGGTTGGTCTGGTTTTGACGTAGATACTAGACAAATTAACTGCGTAGACTAACTTCTAAAGTACCTTTTCACAAGTATAACGCATGCTTAAGCTATAGTGCACTTATCGAAAACTCAAGTCTCGATTGCAACTCTCATTCTATTATAATTTCATTCAATAATCATTACAACCAGCGTATTGCATAAATATTATTTTCATGTTTTTTTCTACCTTGTAGAAAATCTACGGAGATAATAACAATTTAAAGGATATAAAAGGGAGTATTAATTCTCCATCTGTATAATATCAAAAGTATTTTAGAATAAGGTATTCTATGGATTCGGATACGCTGTGACGAATGTTATGACGCTTTTATGTCTGATAATTATTTGTATTACTATCATTCCAAAGAAAACTTTTGTATCTAATGTTTTATCAACGATATTAACTTATGTTGATTGCTTATTTGTAAGTTGTCTAAATGTGACTTTTGATCAAAGTTTAGTATTTTAACTAAGTATAAACAAATATAGATGAAAGTTTAAACATTAGAATTCAATAATTAAATCTTATAATACGTGAATACATACACATGAATAGAAACGGTTTTATGAAATTGATTGCATTTATTTGTGATAAAATCAATAAAATTTGTTTTATTCTATTAATTATATATTAATTTATAATATTACATCAATTAATGCTAAAGCTTTAATATGACTACAGTCGGGGGCATCTAGAATGGGAAAGAATCATGCTTACATGATTAGATTAAAATAGCAGCATAGTGCTTTTGTAACTACGAGAACCGTAGAGCTTTTTTTTATTGGAAACCAGGCATTTTATTTTAAACTTCAGGGGTAAAAGTGCATCTGCGTTTTAATCTTGAATCAGGGTTATCTTTTGAGTGTTTATGAACCCAGCATCCACTTAAAGTTATCTGGACGGTGTGCTTTACTATCCTTATCTATATATTAACATAAAAAAACACTATTACATAACGTAATTGCAATTGTGATTTAATATTTACTTGTTGCTACTGTTCTCGTTTGAGAGATTCCGTTTACATAGTTTAAGCTTACCTGAATGATCTTGCAACGATCGACTGAGAGGGGCTGGAGGTGTTGCTGCGTGGTCTCCACCGTACAACCCACCAAACTCTTCTGCAGAAGAAGACGATGCGTTGCTGCATTTCCGTCCCTTGTCAGGTGTGTACTTGCTCTCAGCACCCGAAGGGAGGAACTTTGCGTCGTTTTGGTGCTCATCTAGCAGTCCTGGCACGCCAAGAAGCCCTCCCACGAGATTTGGCCTCAGCTCCTCCATGATCTTCGAGCCTTGGCCACAGCCACCGCTGGTGGTGAAGTTGAGCTGGCGGCTGAAGAAGGCCGGGAAGATGTTGAATTGCTGCGGGTCTGGCAGCGTGGCAAGGGGCGGCGCGGGCGGCTCCGGGGCCCCCGCGCACGCCGCACTCTTGAACTCCACCGTGCTGTAGCCGGCGCGCTGGCTGAGCGAGCAGCGCGCTTCTCCCGCGCCTCTAAACTCGTGCTCCGTGCCGTCGCCGTCGGCTCGGCCCCGACGTTCACTGACTAACCACATTATAGTGACGTCGCTCGCCGACAACCGCCACCCCGCGCATTAATTGTTCGCGACTGCGCGAGAGGACCACACGTCGACGCCCTCGGGTTGAAACGAAACGGCCTGCTCTCATACCCCCATAATCGATGTAAAATCTTTATAGGGATGCTGCGTCTCATTCATGCCCGGTGCAAGATAACCGGGGGCGGCAGCAGCGCACCCTATTGGACCGTAGCGAGGCACCCGTTTTCTCTGATTGGCGGGGAGGCACGTACCGGGGTGCGTCCGTAACGCTCCGGGCCAGATACGCTTCTTTGTTTTATTGTCTCCACAGCCCGTCGGTCTTGCGTTTAAAGTTTATGCATTGTACCGTGTTTTATTGCACGAAATACAAAATCACGTATGAACTTCTTGAGGTAATGTGCTGAAACATAGATGTGTTGTTTTCCATTAAGATGGTTTGCCCAGTGGTTTCGCACTAAGTGAATGTTCCATATATTTAATATAAATTTAATTTTTATAGTTATCAAGTGTTTACGATTAATGTATCGTTATATTTGTTTACAATCTCAACAGAAGAGAATTTACATATAAAGGCATGAGATTACGTTAGATTGTATGAATAAGGTACGTGAGGGTAATATGGTCACCTTAAGCTTTGCCGCCCTATAAAACCAAAAACTAGGAGGAAAACAAAGACAAAAACACAAACCCGTATACTATGACTAATATCTTAAGAAAAAACAAATGTCAACAAGTTATGGCAATAATCAAGAACCCTATGAAAAATCATCTTTAAAAAAACTAACTGCAAAATCTACTAAAATATTTACCATAATGTCAGCTGCAACTGTGATAATGTCGTCGATGAAGCAGTGCCCGCTTGACCTTTTATTGTTAGATTGACTAATGAAGACCTATCGCATCGCAAAGCCATCTATGCAAACAAGGCTGTAGTGTTTCAGTTATCAGAAAGTGACCATATTAATCGGATGACCATATTACAATCACGTACTATATTATTTATATTAGGAGTCCGTCTGAGTAGGTACCATTTTCTCACCTACTCCTGCCGCCAAATAGCAGTGCTTGCACTAATGAGTCTAATTACGAACTGTGTGGCATTCCATCTTATTCTCTAGAGGTGACAACGCACACAGGCTTTCTTTGCTTCTTTGTTTGAATTTGGCTGTAGGTGTTCATAATCACTTACCAGCAGTGGATTGTAAACTCGTTTGTCAGATTAGTTTTATTAAAAAAAAATTACTAATACAAAAATTTACATTTTATTGTACCATAATAATTTGCTCATCCGTAAAAAAACATACACGCCTTTTGTTACTTCAACAAGTTTTGATTATCTCTCTGTTATTAATAAAGTGGCTTGGTTTCCAATTGAATTTCACCTTAAGCCTGTTTACGAAAGATCGTACTAATACAATCTAAAACTTATATATACAAATACAATTCTTCATAAAGTTAAGACTAGGCAACAACATACAATCGGTATTTAAAACTGGTGCCTTATAAGATTTGTTTTTAAATGCTGTCTTCAAAGCTTGTTGAATGCAGTTAACATAATTTTATTTAAATAAAATGTGTACTTTCTTCTCATTGTGTCTCCTTGTGTCATTTTCTAACAGCTTGTAAAATCCTTTGCTGCACATCCATAGTAGAGAAGACGTTCCAAATTTTGATTGTAATTTAGGTATGGATTTTGGGTATGCGGCATGAGACTTTCAACCACAGAATTTGCTTCCAACGACCGAGCCTAGGTAGTCAGTACTTAGTAGAGGCACCAACCACTTTTCTGAATAGGTAATATCTGCCGCCAAGGACGTGCCGTCTACCGTGAATCTATTTTTATTAGTATATTTTGTAGACAGAAAATCAACTGAAAGTTAGTCTTCAGAAGTGACAACGCTCACGTACACTTCTGGCGTTGTTTCAAGTTATTTGGAAGTGTCTGTGAGCTAAATCAGCTACTAATGATTAGGTGAATCAGATGTAGTGTTAGCTTGCTAGTCAGTAATGTTATAAAAAGCCATGCTTATGTATAAAATAGTAGAAATCATGGTTATTATACTTATCAACAAAATAACCGGGAACCCTACCATAAAAAATTATAGTTTTATTGAAATAATTTATCTTCTTCTTTATTTTCAGCTAGTTAAAGTCCACTGCTGGACATGGGGAACCCCCGTTGTAGAGAGGGAAAATAAATAGTAATGTATTAGTTTATAAATTATTATTGCAACGCTCAAGGAAGCTATTCTTTTAGGTAATATTATTACTCTAAAGCTATCCACGCGTGCCTTGGCAATCATATCTGATGCGCTGTAAAAGCGTGGCAGCCCTAACAATGTACTGAATCTATTGTTGTACTGAATACGTAGAGAATCGAGAGATCGGCAATTACACTTCGTCCACAGTAAAACGTTTTACAGTTAGGTTTGAATAATGTTATCTTAACTTCATTCGTACATCTAGCAAACCTGCAGGAAATCATATTACACCTTAGTGTCAGTACTACTCACGATCAACATCTCAATCGTTAGAGACATCCTCGGTGAACCAGTTTTTTTTAGAATAAGGGTAACAAACGAGCACACAGTCCACCTGATGGTAAGTGGTTACTGTGGCACATACACATCTACATCTATCGTCATTTGCGAATTAAAATGCAGATGCGTTGTCAGCCGTGAGGACTAAGTTAGAATGCCTCTTTTCCAGTAAAAAGGGTCACTGGTTCTTTACACTCACCATACGAATCACAGCAACATTAAGCTGCTATTTTACGCTGGTATTCTGTGATAACGTGGTCTTTCCCCAGTCGAGCCGACCTATTCGTGCTACAACTATACTATTAATATAGCTGCAGCAAGCACGTATTAAAAGTGCTCTAGATATTTGAATTTGGTGACTCTACTCAGTGTAACTTCTTCAAGTCTAACATGACTACTCTCTCTTATGGTCTTAAATATAGTTCTAACTCTTTTCACAACTATATCTGAGGCCATAAGCCGATACATACGTTTCTTAGATGCCATGCAGAAACAAGTCGTCAGCTTAGCTTATATTATTAATAAAATGATCGTCAATTGAGTAACCGACGCCGGCATCTTTGAAGTTAGCGATTAAACCGTTGACGTACATGTTAAGGTGCTGAGGGGAACTAAGGACGACCTGCCTTATCCCGCACTTCAACATATACTTTTTGTAGTTATTATTTATTTATCAACGTTTAGATGTATGATAAAAATTCTTCAATTTTTTTCTATAAGATATAGACTAAATCACTTCTGGCATTGCTTTCTATCTATTTGTGAAATTTTATAACAACCGGTTCAGCTATCCCATTGATTTGCATGGACAGACACAAACATTTTGCAATTTGTAGTAAGCATGTAAATGACCCCATCAGTTCAATACAGGGTAGTTATTTCGATGATACAAACAGCTACTTCAATTTTATTTACATACAGGTATATAGATTTTTTATTAATTTATAATTTATTACATAGAATTAAATTTGAAGTGTCTGCCTGTAATATCGAAATAATTACCTTTAATGACTTTAAGACACGAATAACCATTTCTAAAATGTTTGTCTATCTGTCCGTTCTAATATTTCATTATGTCTGAAACGATTGTAATGAAAATTGCCGAAAAATAGAAAACAATACCAAGAGCGATATAGTTTTTAAAGAAAAAAATGGCAAAATAAATTGTCTTCGATGATTACCTCCATGGAAATATTAAATAGAGATAAATAGATAATATAATCATAGATATAAAAATCCTATTATTATATCTATGTTTATCTCAAAACTAAAAATCCTACCCAGGCGAAAGCGGGATGGATAGCTAGTGTATTAATAAAACACTTATCAAATATCAAATCAATAAAGTAATACTAAAAATATAAAAAAAGATAATAACTTTAAGTAAAATGTATTATGTCTGAAAATTATATATAACATTGTAAATAACACAATATACCTACGTAATACTATTGTCAGTCGCCCCTTTTAGAAAATCAGAAATAAACGTAAATGAAATATGTATTATAGATTTTACTGAACGTTACTTTCGTCCGAAAAAGATCTCAAGGCGCGCTTAAAGAATGTTTACACCAATAAAATAAAAATAAATCAGTTTTTTATTTTATGATATGCTAAGAATTTAGATCTGTTATGGATGCAATGGGTATAATGGTGATGATAACGTTAAGTCACAATTATTTTATTTTTATTTTAAGCTCTTTACCATCCAGATCAATGGTGGTCCATTACAGTCGATCACAATTCCACTACTGGACATAAGCCTCTCCAAAAATAAACCTATAATCATGGTCCTGTGCCACCTTCATCCATCGTCGTCTTGTATCTTCTTACCATGTGGCCACTCATCAAGTAACGGGGCGGCCTACACATCCCTTTCCGCTACGTTTAAGCTGAATGCAATAACCGACAAGAAACTGAATAAATATCTCCGACGAAATTTATTCAGTTACCTTCTCTCTGATTCTGATTAAACTTCGTCAGAATTATTTTATTTTAGTATATTAAAAGTATACGTGAGCAGAATTATTATGAAGAAGTCACATCTCAAGAAGCTGCAATAAACGATACCGGACATACATTCATAGCAGAATATATTTTTTGCGATACGCTTATGCTGCTTGCTCTGGGTCCGACCATGCCAACGAACGTTTTCCATTATAACTTATGATTCATTTTTCATTAAAACAGACAATCCAATGTAAATGCGCCATTTGTGCGCCGATCCTCAAAATTTAGCTGAGTTTTGACGCAAGTTTGCTGTTGTCATTCGACAAGTTCATGCCGTATCAACTTTCCGACCTTCTTTATTTTCACAATTTTGTAGATTTTTGATGTCGATTCTATTATATGGTTTAACGATTGAAGAGATTGAAAGATGGGGACTTTTCCATACATTCTTGCGCCCAGGCGTTAACAAGATAAAAAATGCACCATTTGAAAGCTTACATAAAAACA